ATTTATTTTTTTTTTACCTCCACCGACGGATTTTGTCCCCATGGATTCCAGAGAGAGTGGAAGGGAAGGAGGAGGGGGAGAGAGAGAAACATCGATATGAGAGAGACACATCAATTGGCTACCTCCAGCATGTGCCCCCACCGTGGCTAGAGAACCTGCAACTGAGATACACACCCTTGACTTGAATTGAACCCACAACACTTTGGTCCTCAGGCTGATGCTCTAACCACTGGATACAACTGGCCAGGGCTCAGCTCTCACTTTTAATTATAATCTCTCCTTTTTATAATAGTAGGTGCACCCTAGCCAGGTTGGCTCAGTGGATAGGATGTCAGCCTGTGTACCAAAGGGTTCTGGGTTCGATTTGGTCAAGGGCATGTATCTTGGTTGCAGGCTCCTCCCTGGCCCGGGCCCAGGTTAGATGCAGGAGGCAACCAATCGATGTGTTTTTCTCACATCGATGTTTCTCTCTCTCTTTTCCTCTCTCTTCCACTCTCCCTAAAAATCAGTGGAAAAAATATCCTCGGGTGAAGATTAACCAAACAAACAAACAAACAAAGTAAGTGTAATGGCTCCTTTCCAGCCTCTCAGGTCTCCCTCTCATAGCATCTTCTAGTTTTAATTCTTAGTACACAATTGTGATTTTGTAGCTATTTGTATAGTTTTTTCAATTCTCCTACTAGAATGTAAATTCCTTAAGAGCAAGAAGCCTAATTCTTTTGCTCACTTTTTTATTCCCAGCTGTGTACATAGACAATAAATATTTGTGGAGTGAATGTTTATTACAGAATCATCTTTAATTTTGAGGGCTGGTACCATTTATTTTTATAGATGTACCTGTATGGTCTAAGCTGGAATCTGGTCATCTTCCATCCATGCAACAGCTTGTTCAAATTCTTGACAATGAAATGAAGCTCAATGTCCATATGGATTCAATCCCACATCATCGATCATAGCCCCACCTATCAGCACTGAAAACTCTTTTGTAAGTAGTTTAAAAATATAAGAATTATGTATAGATATCAGTTTACTCACATCAGGAATCAGTAAGATACTAGATATTACATATATTATCACTTAGGTTTTCAACTTGGGATTTAACAGATGGATGTTTTCTTCATTAAAATTTAGAAGAGATCAAGTAAGATTGTATTAAGTTATCTTCAAGGCTTAATAATTGAGCTTATAATATTATTTTTTTGACTATGAACTTCTAATGGCCAGAATTGATATATTATACTATTTGCTTATATACATACTAGAGGCCCGGTGCCTGATGTCCACAGGTGGGGTCCCTTAGGCCTGGCCGGCAATCAGGTTCTATCCGGGCTGTCTCGCCCAGTCCTGATGGGGGCCAGGCCAGCTGGGGCCTGCTGGCTGCTGGACCGGGGGGAGGGGAGGGACAGGGTGAGGGACCGCAGGAGGTTTGCTGGCCAGGGGGAGCAGCCAGGGGAGATTGACTGGCCGTGGGAGGCCGGCTGTGGGAATGCACTGACCACCAGGGGGCAACTACTGCCTTGAACCGCTGTCCCCTGGTGGTCAGTGCACGTCAGAGAGACTGGTCGACCGGTCATTTGCTCGGAACAATCGCTTAGGCTTTTATATAAATACTAGAGGCCTGGTGCACAAAAATTTGTGCACTCGGGGCGAGGGGTCCCTCAGCCAGGCCTGTGCCCTCTTGCAGTCTGGAACCCCTCGGGGGATGACCACCTGCTGGCTTAGGCCTGCTCCCCGGGGGATTGGGCCTAAGATGGCAATCAGACATCCCTCTGGCAGCCCGGCAGCCCTCGGGGGATGCCCACTTGCCAGCGGGGAGCAGACCTTAGCACTGCTGAGGAGGCAGGAGGGGCTCCCACCACCACTGCTGTACTGGCAGCCATCAGCCTGGCTTGTGGCTAAGCAGAGCTCCCCCCTGTGAGAGCGCATTGACCACCAGAGGGCAGCTCCTGCATTGAGCATCTGCCCCCTGGTGGTCAGTGTGTCTCATAGTGACCAGTCATTCCCAGTCGCTCTGCTGTTAGGGTCAGTTTGCATATTACCCTTTTACTATATAGGATAGAGGCCTGGTGCATGGGTGGGGGCCGCCTGGTTTGCCCTGAAGGGTGTCCCGGATCAGGGTGGGGGTCCCGCTTGGGTGCCTGGCCAGCCTGGATGAGGGGATGATGGCTGTTTGCAGCTGGTCACACCCCCTTCAGGGTGGGGGTCCCCACTGGGGTGCCTGGCCAGTCTGGGTGAGGGCCTGAGGGCCGTTTTCAGGCTGGCGGGCGACTGAAGCTCCCAGCCTCTCCTTTTTTTCTTTTCTTTTTTTTATTCTGGGATATATTTACCTTCTATAGCTGTCACTGGAGCTGAGAGCTGGCTCCAGCTCTGAGGCATGGCTGGCTGAAAGCAGGTATCTGGGTTTGTTTAGCTTCTATAATTGCAACTTTGTTGCTTAGAGTGTAGCTTACAGCTGGCCAAGGCAGGCAGGGAACCTGGCTTCCTCCATCACTGGAGCAAGCAAGCCTCCTGTTCGCTTCAGCTGCGTGACTGCCGGCCGCCATCTTTTTTGGCAGTTAATTTGCATATCCTGCTGATTAGCCAATGGGAAGTGTAGTGGAGGTATGGTTAATTACCATGTTTGTCTGTTATTAGATAGGATTGATTCTCTCTCTACCTTCAAATAACTAGTTCCTAAGAGTATAAAAATTCTTTTAGCATGCTCAAGATAGAGAATTTATAAGCAAATATGTGTGAATGTGGAGAGGTGTTAACTTTTGCTTAGCAGAGATGTTCTCAGTTCTTTTCTGATAAAGGAGTTGATCTTATGAGTGAAGTTTGAAATAAAATATTCTTTTTCTATGTGTCTTTCAGACATTACGGGATTTTTGCAAGAGCAGCGTGACTGACATTATGAAGGCCTGTACTGAAGACAGCAAGCTGTTAGTACAGACCAGATGTTTCTTAGCAGGCTCGTTGTACCTCTTGGAAAACCTCAATGCAAGACAGTTTTTAGTGCTGGCACATTTTCGAATTCTGCACATTCGTGGAGTGCAATAATACTGTATAGTAATTTTTCTCCTCCCAATCCACTGAGTTAATAGTTTTCTAAAAATGTAAACATTACTACTTGTACCATTTTTCCTTAGTCATATTTGAAAAAATTGCAAAATGAGTTAGAATTTGATTTTTTTTTCAAGGATGTCTGTTAAATCTGTTGTGATTTTATATGAATTTTCCTTTTTTATTGTTTAGAATTGATCTTTTTGGGAATAAGCTGAAGTTCTCCCTTTATAAGAGTTTATCAGACATCTCTAATTTGGTTATGTCCTACTTATAGGTTTCAAAATACTGCAGATTTTGAAGAGCAAATTCTACAAAATTATGGGGGGAGATCCTATATGCAAAATTCTCTAACAGTTTGTGTGTGTGTATATGTGTGCACATGTGTGTGAATACCAGAGAAACGACTAAAAGACCAACCGCTTTTAAAATTCTGTTATAGTTCAAGTGTCTTGCCTTGACCAATCTAATGAATTGATTAACTGGGCCTTTATACTTAACTCAATAAAAAATAAGCAGACATAAGTTAAATAAAAACTTTGAATTTATTGCCCAGCGTACCTGTTAACATTATATTTAACCGTCGTCTGTTTAAATTTTTGTTTTTGACTTACAGATAATTTCATTAGGGATACACTTTAGATTCACAACAAATAATAAATCATTTACCATTTTTAGGGTAATTGAAACTCATCTCACTAAAGAAAGTTTAGTTGAACTTCTTTACAACATTAATATTAGACGGATGGAGATCACTTGTCTAATTTAACTTGCCTAACATCAGAATTTTATTATATTTGAGGGACAAAATTGAAAATTTTTTTATTCAGTGAGTTTAATATCTTTTCAGAGTTCTAAAAAGATTGTAAGAGTAATTTAGCAGAAGTAGGACCATGATGTAGAGAAAAGGTCATATAGCTACAGTCATAACATACTTCAGCCTCCATATAGGAATAAAAGTGTTAGTGGAAGTAAAGGGATTTATGGAAAAGTTTGGAGATAATTCAATATTGGGTCCACCAAACAAACACTTAGCACAACTGTATACTTTGTCATTGAATATTTGTTGAATGCATGTCTGGTAATGATCATGATGTGACAGCCTCGAGGTGGAACATGGTGATAGGAAGTTAGCCTGCAGAAAATTGATTAAAATGGCTTATTATCCTTTTCATTAGACTGCAGACTGTTAACCTAATTTCATACAATTTAAACTGGGGAGTTACAGATTTTTATTATTCGGGTGTAATAACATTTTGTTATTTTCAACTAGGGCTAAAACCTTAACTTGATTTGTACCAGCTCAAACTTCCTATCTTCTGCAAGTTGAACACATTGTTGAGTGTGTCCAGGGTCTTTCTTCAGCTGATGGACATTCCACTAGTGACAGTTAATCTTTTGGTATTTAGACTTTTCAACCTGGAGCCTTGGAAATGTTCCCATGTTCTGTATCTGGCAGGTCAATCATGAAGAAACAAGATTTGATTCTAACTTTTTCCATGTTTGCCCTGGGTAGATAAATTGTCTTTTAGAGAATAGCTTTAGGTAGTTTACACTATGATAAAACTCAGCTATTTTGTTGATATTCATCTCAATATTGTTGTTTTATCTTTGGCCATATTTAAATCTAGGATTTAATGGGGTTTAGTGAAAATGGAAAGAATGAATATAAAAAGACAAATTTAAGAGAAAAGGGAAAGTTTAAATGAAGATATTTATAATATAGTTTTATTCCTAACATTTCAGAATTTATTGCTTGCAAATAAGTGTGGCTCTGTAGTTTATAAATGTCTATGTACTATATTAATAAGAAGACCATAGAACCTGACAGCACGTTTGCTAATGTCATTGGGGGTTTTTACCACAGTTACTATTGTGGCAGAAATTATTTGTTAGATTAATAAAAAAGTTGGCAAAACATGGCTTTATACCTCAGTATCAAGATGTGCAAGACAAATATGTTTTCAGAATATACATGTGGTATTTATTTATGGCACTAACATCAACAACAGCAGTTGATCAGCCTTTACCACTATCAAAATAAAACAGGATCCTAATGGTAATTCTTACTTTGAATGTTTTTAGTTGGGACTTTGTTGGCATTTTATCATTGTCATAATTTTAAATTTAGATTTAAAAATAGCCTACAGAATTTTAAAGCATGATTTGATATTTAATTTTAAAGCTTTTAAAAAAATCTTGTGAGAGAAATGTGAGGGATTGTAAAGTTTGGGGCTTACCTCTCAAACATTGTGAAAATAAACTTTTATTAAGCTCATGTGAAAGGAACCCATCTGTTGTGTAATTAAATCTATGCTAGAGCACTTTATATGTTAACTGTATTTGGAAAACTTTATGTTGTAAAAATTTGTGTCCTCAAATAATGTTTACTTTATAGTGACTTTTTTTGTTTGTTTTGTTTTTGTTAATCCTCACCCGAGGATATTTTTTCCATTGATTTTTTTTTTTTAGGAAGAGTGAAAGAGAGGGGAAGACGAGAGAAACATCAATGTGAGAGAAACGCATCAATTGGTTGCCTCCTGCACGAGCCCCGACCAGGGCCTGGGCTGAGGAGGGGCCTGCAACCAAGGTATGTGCCCTTGACTGGAATCAAACCTGGGACCCATTGGTCCGCAGGCTGACTATCCACTGAGCCAAACCGGCTAGGGCTATAATGACTTCTTAAACCAACCAGTGCTAACCCAAAGTCTGGCACTCAACTCCTACCACTCTTGGATCTTAAACTACTTCTTGAGTCTGCAGTCCACTGTGCTTTAGTGTTGCTGAGCTATCAGTTCTGGTGGCTTCTGTGCTGGGGGTGGAGCAAAAAGGAGCCATTGCTCATCTTTACCCCCAACCTCCACAATTCCTGAGAAAGTCATGCTATCATCTCTAAATCTGGAGAGAGATAAAGTGAGGGTGTTTTCCTCTAGACTGGTGTAGACAATTTAACAGTTCTAGAAGATAGAACAAAGTTCAGATATTTTTTAAAATTTAAGCTGAGGTTTTTTCTTCACAGTCCCTGGCTCCTTTTCTCTTGGCTGCTGAGAAGGAAATAGAAATAGATCTAGCTCTGAACAGGATCCCGAAGAAAAATATAAACTGGTCTCACCTACTGTGGGATGAGTCTTATGTCACCCACTCTCAATCAAGACTTAAGAATGTCTTCTGTTGCCTAGGTTAAGCAGGAACAAGATAAGGAAACAATGTGGTAACTGTAAGTATACTCCAGCAAGCAGTGGCTTTAAAAATTGAGTGTGCCTAAAAATCATTGGTACAAATCCCTGGATCCCATCCTTAGAGATGCTGATTCAGTTGGTCTGAAATGGGACCCGATAATTTGCATTTCAACCAAGCTTCCTAATAATGTAGATGGTCTCAGTCTGTGGTCCACACTGAGGAGCACTGTACCACAGAGAACACCAGACTTAGGACTCACCTGGAAGAAAATGTAGTTCACGGGACAGAAGGGAATTTTGTACATTTGCTTCATGTTTATAGAATAACTTACGAACAAGAATTCAATAAAATTGGAACTCAAAAGAGAGAATGGGATGAGAGGAAGAGTGTTTCTTTTTTAAATGTATTTTTAAAATTTTCAATTACAGTTGACATTCTATATTATTTGATTTCAGGTAAGATTTTTTTAATTTTTATTTATTGGGTGACACTGGTTCATAACGTTATATAGGTTTCAGGTGTATAATTCTATAATACATCATCCGTATATTGTGTGTGCACCACCCCAAGCTAAGTCTCCTTCCATCACAGATTATGTTTCTAAGGAAACAAGTTGAGGACTTCATTGTCCCAATTAATTATGTGACATGTTTTTTAGCCTTTGGTTAGTATTTTGGATCTTTTTGGATGGATGTTGTAAAAAGAAATGTTAAGTCTTTGAGTAAAATAACTGATGTGAATTGCTATATTTTTCTAGAGTAAAGCAGGTAACGTGTTTGCATTTTGCTTATATTTTATAATGATAACTGATCTTTACATTCACATAAAACAAATCTTTAAATTTTTAATAGTTAAAGTAGATAAATTGCATACTTCTTATTTTATTGTAGTAACCATGATAGAGCTCCAAATTACTAGGGAAAGCCAATCTGAGCTTAATTACTACCCCCCCCCCCACCCTTCCCACACACACACACAAAGGATTTATTGATTCATGTCACTGAAAAATCCAATGTAGAGTTGGCCTCAGGGATTCAAATGTGGTTATCAGAACTCTTCATCTAAGTGGGGCTAGGAGGGATGGGGGAGAAATAAGAGCATGGATCAAGTCCCAGAAGTGTACTCTGGTGCAAGTGGGGTCATATTCTTATCTTTGGATTGTATTCCTCACTTGATAGCCATTCAAATAATTTTATCATCTATTAACTCTTTCCTCTGTTTACTCCACTCAATCTCCTTAATTATTGATTTAGACAAGTTTATTTATGGCTTTGTGTTTATAAGCTACTCAGACCGAGTTCTTTGCTATTTGAGAATTATTTGGAAGGGGTGGAGCTAGCATTGGGTCGCTTGGCTTAGTTAATAACAGTATAAGAATCTGGCCAGCAGGTTGCTACCAACACTCCCTTGAGCCACTGGCTATACTCATTTAGTTTGTGTACTAGCAACTTAAGAGAAAAAGAAACAAAGCTACTTCTTTGTTTGTTGTTGCTAAGGGCTGGTCTGTTTGCAGAGAAATGTGCTGATGACATTTTCCCCCTAAATATTAAGAAAACATATATATATATTAGAAAATGCTTCTGGATTTCATCTTTTAATAGCCCATAGGATCTGGAGATGAGACACTATTTTAAAGTATTAAAATCCAGATTTTTTTTAATGCACCTGGTGCTGGTGGAGCACAGTCCATGTCTTCATCAGGAAAGATGTTGGAGTTGAGAATGTTAACTACCATGACTTTCAGTGCTTTAATGAAACCTCAGATGTTTGGCCTTTGAACCAGGGTCTGTAATTTCATATTGTTGGGGGGATCATTGTATCCCCAGGGGCTGTAGCTTTCTATGTTTGCTGAATCAAGAAAGGCATATACAGATTTCTACAGAAATTACAATTCTGTCATCAGATCAGTTCTGAGTCGGTGATGGCTCTGCCCTAGCATGCTTTGGGACCTTTTGTGTGTCAGGCCACCTTCAGGCTCTTGATTTGTGCAAGAAAAATTTCAAGAACAAGTTGAATGAGAATGAAAGCAAGTTTTATTCAGGCAGAGAGAGACTAGGACATGGGCCAGGTGGTAGTTCTTGGGATTTTATGTGTTTCCATTTTTTCATTTTATGGTGCCAAATTCTGACTCCACTTCCTTTTGGAAGTGTCATGGCATTTGCTCCCCATCTTTCACTGCCTTCTACTTGTAGTGTTGAGGCAGGATAGTAAGAAGCTAGGAAAATTCCTTGGCGAATGGAATGAGGGAACCTGAAACAAAATAGTTAAACAAAGCCAAGCAATTAACTTGCTAATAAATTGTAAGCTCTTACCTTCCCTAATTAAGGACACCTAAGAGCAGATGGTTTATACCTCTCCTGCCCAACCACAGAGTGAGTGAGTATCTTAAGTCCCTGGTCAGGGAGATAGATAACAGAGACCCAGTTGATGCCATTAGTGCCAGCCAAACCCCAGAGGTGATGAAGTCGGGAATAAACAAAAAAGCCCAATTAGATCCAGACAGACTCAAGGTAAAAGTAAAGCAGTGAAACTGACCAGAGAATTATCCCAAATTCCTTTATCTCTACACTGATTTTGATATATCAGCATGGACACACCTGGAAAGCTGTTAAATTCTGTTGAGACCTCCCCTAAAATTCCCCACCTTTAGAAGAGATAAAAAACTTTTAAGGAAAGGGACACAGCTCTCTCTCTCTCTCTTTCTCTCTCATGCCCACCCCACCCTCCTTTCCTCAGGCGTGTGCTTCTGCTTCTAAACTCTAAGGGTCCTCACGAGACTTGCAACTAGAGGATCATTGGGTAGCGGCAGCTCATCCCGGGCTAACCCCCCTGAACCTGACTCTGAGGACTCTTTGCCTCTGTAACTTGTTTCCTTTTTTAAAAAAATAGATTTTAGATTTTATTTCTGCATTTATTGGTTGATTCTTCTATGTGCCCAGACCACTTTGTCTGTATTTATTGAAATCATATTTCCCCCCTTTATTCCATACTATTGTCTATTACATTAATTGATTTTCAGATGTTAAACCAACCTTATATTCCTGGGATAAATTTTACTTGGTCATGGTGTATAATTTTTTTTATGTGTTGCTGGATTTGGTTCACTGGCATTTGTTGAGAATTTTTACATCTCTCTTCATTGACAGTAGAGATCTTGAGTTTCTTGTGCTATCTTTGTCTGATTTAGATCAGGGTAATACTGACCTTATAAGGAGGGTTAATATGTGTCCACTTCTCTTATATTTTTAGGAACAATTTGTGAAGAATTAATATTAATTCCTCTGAATGCTTGGTAAAATTCACCAGGGTAGCCATTGAGGACTGAGCTTTTCTTTGTGGAAGTGTTAAAATTACTAATTTGATCTCTTATAGGCCAAATACATTTTTTATTCTTACAATGTTGGTTTCAGGGTTTTGTGTATTCCTGTAAATTTGTCCATTTCACTCAAATTATCCAATTTGTTAGCATACAGTTATTTACAGTATTTTCTTATAATCCTTTCTATTTCTGTAAATTTGGTAATGATGTCCCCTCTTTTCTTCCTGTTTTAAGTTATTTGAGTCTTCTCTCTTTTTTCCCTTTGCCCGTCTAGCTAAAGGCTTGCCAATTTTGTTGATCTTTTTAAGCAATCAGCTTTTGGTTTTGTTCATTTTTTTTCTATTGTTTTTCTATCTTTTGAAAACGAAAAATGAAAAGAAAAATCTTTAAAACAGCTAGAGGAAAACAAGACACATTGCTTCTAGAGGAATAGAATGCCCTGAAATAAAGAAGATAATGAAATGATGCTGCACTTTAAATGAATGCATTGATTCTTTAAAAAAAAAAAGTGATTTGACAAAGCACTTTTTTTTTTTTAAGTCTAAGGCTGTCAGTTTGATCTCTGCATGAGATAGTCTGCTTTATCAGGAAGAACCAATTCTTCCCCTGTCCTCAAATTCCTAGGCAACTGCCATGTCCCAGAGGTTTTCATGGTAGAGGTGATGGTTTTTCCTTCAAGGTCAAAGGGGGCGTGGGGGGTGGGGGGGTGGGGGGGTGGGAAGGCCCTGCTGACACCACACTTGGTGATGGTGCCAATGTAGGTAGGAATCTGTGCCAATTATTATGCTTT